CGTACACCCTGGTATGTAGATTGATTTTCAAAGATTTTGGACATCTCTGAGAGTTTTTATGACAATCCCCAAACCGATCTTTAGGAATGTGGTAGATAGTAAAATTGGACCTTTCTAGGAGTGTAGTGGTTTTTTCTTTTTTCTTTTTGGCCAGCCATGGCTAGGTAATTTTCTTGTTTTGAAAAATTGTCCGAAACACAAGACGGCTGCTACAGTATCACAAAAATATTTTTAAAACTGATTTTCTTGAGCTTGAACTTCCAGATTTATATCTCATTTGTCATAAAATCCAGCCTGGTGAAAATCACATAGTGCCGATGAAAAACGAAAAATTGCTTGAACTACGTAAATGAATTTTTGGACTTCATTTTGCTACTCGAGCATTTATATAATCTACCGAGTTCTGTCAGTCGCACGAATTTGAAGAAATATCTATCTATCCATCCATCCATCTATCCATCCATCCATCCATCCATCCATCGGATAGATGGACGGATGGATGGATAGATAGATAGATAGATGTTATTGGCCGGCTGGGAGGTCCGTATAGTGAAAAACTGTGACCGGGGTCTTGAAAATGCTGCCCGAGGCCTGCGGTTTCAAGCCCAAGATCACAGCTTTTCACTATGCGGACCGATCCTAAGCCGGTCAATAACGTGTTTATTTTTTTTTCTTGCGGTAAATTGGCTTACAACTGGGTTTTTTTACGCAACTTTGTCACTGAATTGGGTTACGTCTTGTCTACAAACCATTGGCAAAAAATCTAACGAACGAACGAGCAAGTATAACTCAGATATTAGACAAAGAAAGATGTATTAAGAACAGATTTATTTCGGACTAGTTTATGTTAAAATATAAAACTTTTATGTAAAAAGCTGTTAAAATTGAGTCTTAACGTTTTTGATCTGTTTGATCATCATCAGAGTGAAATAATATGCATACGCTCAGTATTCTTATAGTTCAGGTAATGCCAGTTATGTAATACCTGTTCCCATGGGGAACAAGGTGAGGTCCAGTGTGCAATCACTGGACCTCACCTTGTCGAGTTGAGGCAACTCGACGGATTCCGCCCGCTGTGGCGGTCCGAATGAGAAAATTCCGCCCGCTCCAGGAACCAATCAG